CTATCGTGGGGTGCAGCACCTTTGTCTTGGGGGTGACTTAGCTATCGTGGGGTGCAGCACCTTTGTCTTGGGGGTGACTTAGCTATCGTGGGGTGCAGCACCTTTGTCTTGGGGGTGACTTAGCTATCGTGGGGTGCAGCACCTTTGTCTTGGGGGTGACTTAGCTATCGTGGGGTGCAGCACCTTTGTCTTGGGGGTGACTTAGCTATCGTGGGGTGCAGCACCTTTGTCTTGGGGGTGACTTAGCTATCGTGGGGTACAGCACCTTTGTCTTGGGGGTGACTTAGCTATCGTGGGGTACAGCACCTTTGTCTTGGGGGTGACTTAGCTATCGTGGGGTACAGCACCTTTGTCTTGGGGGTGACTTAGCTATCGTGGGGTGCAGCACCTTTGTCTTGGGGGTGACTTAGCTATCGTGGGGTGCAGCACCTTTGTCTTGGGGGTGACTTAGCTATCGTGGGGTGCAGCACCTTTGTCTTGGGGGTGACTTAGCTATCGTGGGGTGCAGCACCTTTGTCTTGGGGGTGACTTAGCTATCGTGGGGTACAGCACCTTTGTCTTGGGGGTGACTTAGCTATCGTGGGGTACAGCACCTTTGTCTTGGGGGTGACTTAGCTATCGTGGGGTGCAGCACCTTTGTCTTGGGGGTGACTTAGCTATCGTGGGGTGCAGCACCTTTGTCTTGGGGGTGACTTAGCTATCGTGGGGTGCAGCACCTTTGTCTTGGGGGTGACTTAGCTATCGTGGGGTGCAGCACCTTTGTCTTGGGGGTGACTTAGCTATCGTGGGGTGCAGCACCTTTGTCTTGGGGGTGACTTAGCTATCGTGGGGTACAGCACCTTTGTCTTGGGGGTGACTTAGCTATCGTGGGGTGCAGCACCTTTGTCTTGGGGGTGACTTAGCTATCGTGGGGTGCAGCACCTTTGTCTTGGGGGTGACTTAGCTATCGTGGGGTGCAGCACCTTTGTCTTGGGGGTGACTTAGCTATCGTGGGGTGCAGCACCTTTGTCTTGGGGGTGACTTAGCTATCGTGGGGTACAGCACCTTTGTCTTGGGGGTGACTTAGCTATCGTGGGGTACAGCACCTTTGTCTTTGGGGTGACTTAGCTATTGTGGGGTGCAGCACCTTTGTCTTGGGGGTGACTTAGCTATCATGGGGTGCAGCACCTTTGTCTTGGGGGTGACTTAGCTATCGTGGGGTGCAGCACCTTTGTCTTTTGCTCTACTGTGTGCTGGTCCACTTTTCACGTGGAGCAGTTACAGCTGCCCAACCTTTCGTGTCTAATCGCCAGAACTGGGAATAAACGAAAGCCACATGAAAAAACAAAACCTGGCGGTGCAGTGGTGGCGTACCCCTTAATCCCAGCACTCAGGAAGCAGAGGCAGGCGGATCTCTGTGAATTCAAGGCCAGCCTGGACTACAGAGCCAGTGCCAGGACAGCCTCCAAAACAATACAGAGAAACCTTGTCTTGAAAAACCAAAAAGAAAAAAAAAGTCTCATATAGTCCAGGCTGGCCTTGAATTTGCTATGTAGCCAAGAAGGACACTGAACTTCAGATCTGCCTGCCTCTACCTCCTAAGTGTTAGGACTACTGGTGTGAGTCATCATGCCTGGCTTATTTATGTGTTTGTTTCCTTACTTTTTTGCATTATTTTATGTGTGTTTTTCCTACATGCAGCTATGTGTACTATGTGCACGTCTGATGCCCAGAGGCCTGAAAGATGGCATGAATCCCCTGGAACTGAAGTTACACATGGTTGTGAGCCACATGGGGTCTTGGGAATGGAACATAGGTCCTCTGCGGTGCTCTTAGCCACTAATCCATCTTTCTAGGCCCATGCCTAGCCTTTTGTATTATTTCTGCAATACACCTATATACCTTACATTACTATTATTATTACTATTCAGAGGGCAAAACATTAAATATTATGCATAAACATAATAAAAAGGCTAGAAAGCTATGGGCTAAGTCACCAACAAAATCAAAGTTTCCCTTTTTTATTATGTGGGGGTCTGGGTTAGGCTTTTTTCCCTCCTGGATCAAATTCCCTGTGCCATGCTCACTGCTCAGCCTGTGTCCGAGAATGTGCAGAGAGTGTCGGGATTGATGACACAGAGACCAGTCTCGGTGGCTTCCAGAAGGCTCCTCAAGAAGGCTCTACTTTATTTCTACCCTGGCTGGTTATATATACCCTGACACCAGAAGCAGTGGTGAGTGGGTCAGGATGAGTCGGTTAGTCTTTAAAAAAGGTCAAGGTCAGGGTGTTTCCTTGGGCCAGCCCTTATGCTCAGGATTGGAAAAGTTCAAGGTCAGGGCATTTCCGTGGGCCAGCCCTTTTCAGGAACTTATTGCCACCGTATTGTTTTTAGTGAGCATGTTTTTAGTAAACATTGTCTTACAGCTGTCTGCTCCCAGGCTGATGGGGAAGTGGGCCTCATCCCAAGGTCTGTTGTTCCCACATCCCTGTAGATTTTGAAAATCAATTAATAAAGCCATTACCCAAGAATAACTATCATTACCATTTGGGTTCACTAAGCTTCTATTCTTAGACAAATACATCAACTATTACAAAAATTTGGGGTCAGTTGTTCCCAGGTGTGTGCTGGGGTTTAAATAATATGGGAGGGTGGCCCATGAACTAGCATTTGCTAATTTATTTTTATTCCAGAGTTTTGTTTTATTAGGTAGGGTCTTACTACATAGCCATAACTGCCCTTGAACTCAATTATCCTTTGGCCTCTGCCTCCTCAATACTTAAGATTACAAAAAGTGAGCTAATTTTTTTCCTTTTTTTTTTTTTTGGTTTTTCAAGACAGGGTTTCTCTGTGGCTTTGGAGGCTGTCCTGGAACTCACTCTGTAGACCAGGCTGGCCTCGAACTCACAGAGATCCGCCTGACTCTGCCTCTCTAATGCTGGGATTAAAGGCATGTACCACCAACACCTGGCTACAAGACACCATTTTTAAAATGGCAGACTCTTTTATATTGCCCAGGTTGGCCCCCAACTCACAATATTCCTGTCTCAGCTTCCAAAGCTAGAGTAAAAATGAAAGCCACTGAACCCAGCTAGAAATGTGTGCTGTGAAAATATGACTCCAAAAGGAAGGCCTTTTAGCCAGGCAGTGGTGGTGCAAGCCTTTAATCCCAGCACTTGGGAGGCAGAAGCAGGTAGATTTCTGTGAGTTCAAGGCCAGCCTGGATTACAAACTGAGTTCTAGGACCATCCCACACAAAAACTCCCATCTCAAAAAAACAAAAAACCCTTTTACCTAAGGCATTTGGTAATTGGCTTTGAAAGATTATTCAAGAAAAACAAAGGAAGGTTTCCACATGAAAGTAGGCCAAGGTGCTAGGAAGATGGTTCGTTGTTTTAGAGCATTATGTTCTTGTAAAGGACCCAGGACCACATGGTGGCTGACAACCATCTTTAACTCCAGTTCCAGAAATCCAATCCCTCTTCTGCAAACCTCTGTGGACATATACATAACAAGCATATAGGCAAAACATTCCTGCATATAAAATAAATCTAAAAAAAGAAACTAAGCCAAGATTTTAAAATGAAGAAGGTTCGGGACATGGTGGCACACGCCTTTAATCCCAGCACTAAGGACATAGAGGTGGGTGGATCTCTGTGAGTTAGAGGCCAGTATGGTCTATGTAACAAGTTACAGGATAGCCAGGGTTATATAGAGACCCTGTATCCAAACAAACAAATAAATGGAAAGAAGTACCCACAGAAATTGCCCCCCCCAACCTGGGGTGTTTTGAGACAGAGACAGGATTTCTCTATGTAACCCTGGCTGTCCTGGAACTAGCTATGTAGACCAGGCTGGCCTTGAACTCAGAGATCCGCCCGCCTCTGCCTCCTGAATGGTAGGATTAAATGTGTGTGCCACCACTGCCCGGCCTCTTGAGAAATTCTTGATAGCAGAACTAGTTTTCAAGGAAGTAAAACTCATGGACACTAGATCCTGAGGGATTGCACAGAACCCTGAATGTATTCCTATAGGTGAGGAGTTTGGGAGAGGGTGACACTTGGTAAGGCTTACATTTGGAGGGCACTTCATGATGGGTGTGCTTAGGACAGGCTAGGGGAACAGGCGAACAATACAGGGAACTGGCCGGGAAAGCATGTACACGTCCAAGGCATGGTTTCTGTTTGGGGCAGGGTTTGTATGTGCATGGTGCTGGAACATGACAAGAGCCACAGCAGAATGTCAGGCGTCTCTCTAGTCTGTGACTGCCCTTGAGGCAAGGTCTCTCGATTAACTGGAAGCTCACCGTGTAGGCTAAGGTAGTTGCCACCACTCCCAATGCTGGTGTCAAAGGCATGAACAGCCATGCTCCACTTTTTTTTTTTGTTTTGTTTTTTTGGTTTTTCGAGACAGGGTTTCTCTGTGGCTTTGGAGGCTGTCCTGGAACTCGCTCTGTAGACCAGGCTGGCCTCGAACTCACAAGAGATCCGCCTGCCTCTGCCTCCCGAGTGCTGGGATTAAAGGCGTACGCCACCAACGCCCTGCTACTCCTACCTCGTTTTTAAGATGTTGGCTATAGTCTATCACGCTGATTTTGTGACATATTGGTTAGCTCGTAACTAATGTTACGGATGTCTTGCGGAAAGGAAAGCAGAGTTTATCTGGGGGGGTGTGTTCTTTCAGAGTCTCAGCCTCGGCAGTGCATCAAAACTACCTAAGTGCTACTGAAAATGCAGCTCTCCAGACTGCAGATGCATCTGTATTCAGCACCTACGCCTATTCGGAAACGTCTCTTCACACTTTGCCCAGAAAGCATATAAAATGAACGAATACTTACAGGCTGAGAAACCACTAATCTCAGGGGTTATGTGACAGCCTGGGGAGGAGCCCAGGCGGGGGCAGCGAGCATCGCGTATGGCACCTGCGGTGTCAGACACGCCCCGGTGACCGCGGCCAAGTAACTGGCTGTGCGCGATCGGGTTCAGGGCGCGGGCCCGCGGCGCGCCCCACGACCGCCCCACAGTGCCCCGCGGCGCGCACACGCAGACCGCCGCTCCCGGCGTGCAGCGCTGCGGCCTCAGGCAGCCCCGCGGGGCCCGCCGGGCCGGAGCCCGAGGAGCATGGCGCTGAGACGCATCCAGAAGGTAAAGGTGGCGGAAACCGGGCCTTCCACTCCGCGGACTGCCGCAGAGACGAGAGGCCCGCGCTAAGGCGCGGCGGGGCCCCGCGTTGACACCCGCCCCGGAGCGCACTTAGGATGCGGGGGCGTGCGCGGCGCGGGGGGCGGGGTCACGCGGCCGTGTCGCGTGCACGCGCAGCTGCGGGCTGGCGTTTAGGGAGAGGCGTGGGAATGCCGAACGCGCGACCTAGCCAGCTAGGCTGAGCCAGCCGCTGGAGTAGCTCATCCTGCAGGTCGCAGTCTCCTGCTGATCCGTTAACCTAGGACTTGGGAAGTGCCTCGAAGATAAACAAAATAAGACCCAGTTCTGTTCCCCCCACCACCCATGTTGTAAACATTTTAGCTTATCTACTTTTCGTTCTTTCCCTGTCCCTGAAAAAGGTGTTTGCTGCAATTCTGTTTTGGTTTGTTTTTGTTTTTTTGAGACCGGGTCTCCATGCAGTCCTAACTGGCTTGCAACTCGCTATGTGGATCAGGCCAACCTTGATTTCCTGTAGCTCTCAAGCACTGGGAATAGAGGCGTGCACCACCATGTCCCGAATTATGCTGTACTTTGTGATTCACCTTTTCACATAGCATTGAAAGTTCGGATTTTCTGTACTGAAGAATAATACTGATAACCCTTTAAAAGGATTTATTTACTTTGCCTGGGGGTGGTGATGCGCGCCTTTAATCCCAGCACTGTGAGCAGAACTGTGAGCTCCAGGCCAGCCTGATCTACAAAGCAAGTTTCAGAACACCCAAGGCTACACAGAAACCCAGTCTCGAAAAACAACCAAAAAAAAAAAAAAACACCAAAATTAAAAAAAAAAAAGATGTATTTGCGGGCTGGAGAGAGCTCAGAGGTTAAGAGCCCTGGCTACTCTTCCAGAAGTCCTGAGTTCAATTCCCAGCACCCACACAGTGGCTCACAACTGTCTCTAATGAGATCTCGTGCCCTCTTCATGAAGGCAGAACACTGTATACATAGTAAATAAAACTTTTTTAAAACATTATAATACATAGGTAAATCTTTTTGTAAAAAGATGCATTTATTTTTAGTTTATGTGAATGGGTGTTTTGCTTGCATTGATCGAAGTGCCCACAGAAGCCAGAAGAGGGCATCTGTTCCCCAGGAACCAGTTTCCTGTGGTTCTCAGGCGCTTGACTTGACTTGGGTGCTGGAAGAGCAGTACATGCTCTTAACCTCTGAGCCATCTCCCCAGCCCCCAGGTTTTTTTGCTTTGTTTTGTTTTGGGCTCTTTGTTTTGTTTTTTGAGACAGGGTTTCTCTGTGTAGCTTTGAAGCCTGTCCTGGAACTCACTCTGTAACCAGGCTGGCCCTGAACTTTCGGGGATTCATCTGTCTCTGCCTCCTGAGTGCTGAGATTAAAGGTGTGTGCCACCGCTGCCCAACTCCAACTTGTTTTTTTGTTTGTTTTGTGTTTTACTTGTTTCATGTGTGTGAGTGTCTTATTTGTTTGTTTTGTTTTACTTGTTTTATGTGTGTGGGTGTCTGCTTGTTTGTTTTGTGTTTTACTTGTTTCATGTGTATGGGTGTCTTGTTTGTTAGTTTGTGTTTTATGAGTGTGGGTGTTTTTTTGTTCGTTTTGTGTTTTACTTGTTTCATGTGTGTGTCTTATCTGTTTGTTTTGTTTTACTTGTTTTATGTGTGTGGGTGTCTTGTTTGTTTTGTGTTTTACTTGCCTTGTGTGTGTGGTGTTCTGTCTGCATGTGTGTCTGTGCATCACATGCCTGCCTGGTGCTCTGGTGGAGGCCAGAAGAGGGCGTCAGATCCCCTGGGACTGAAGTTACTGATGCTTGCGAGCGACCACGTGGGTGCTGGGAATCAAACCCTTGTCCTCTGCAACAGCAGCCAGTGCTCTTAATTGCTGAGCCATCTATCTCTTCAATCCCATACCAACTTTTAAAAGTCCCATAGTCATTAATAACTCAAACACTTTAGAAGCTCAGCCTCAGGCTAGAGAGATGGCTTAGCAATTAAGAACACTTGTTACTCTTACAGAGGACACGGGTTTGAGTCCCAGCACCCACTTGGTGGTCCAAAACCACTGGTACTCCAGTTTCTGGGGATCAGAATTTTAATTTTTTTTTTTTTAGGATTTGTTTATTCAGCCGGACGTTAGTGGCACATGCCTTTAAACGCCTTTAATCCCAGCACTCGGGAGACAGAGGCAGGTGGATCTCTGTGAGTTCAAGGTCAGCCTGGTGGAGTGCCAGGACAGCCTCCAGAACAATACAGAGAAACCCTGTCTTGAAAAACAAAACAAAAAAATCAAAATGTTACAAAGATTCTATTCCAAAGGGAAGAACCAGGGCACAGTTAATATCAAATCCAAACGAAACCCAAATCCTCTCTGAAGTGTAAATATCTCAATGTGTGACTTCTGGGGCTCATGGGGTTCCAAAGGGCTTGGGCAGCTTGACTTGCCTGGCTCTGCCCTCCCCAACACACACACAGTTAGTCTCATAGCTGATGCCAGGAGAAAGGAGATGGAGAAGAGGAAGACGGAGAATCAGACCTTTGACTCAGGCTTGGAATTCAGCCAGCCTGCAGCTCCTTGCAGACAAGAAGCCCCATGGGGTAGGGGACGGAGCTTCATAGAGAGAGTGAGGATACCCAGAGTGTCAGGAGAGCATGTCCAGACTTAGGCCCAGATAGGGGCTATTTTTTACCCCTTCTCTTTACCTTGGACTTAGGTTAATCCTCTTCCTAAAATATGGTCTGAGCCAGGTGATTGACCACCCAGCTGGGTTAACTATTATGTTTTGGGTTAGCTTGTAATGTTAGGTCTCCATCCAAACCTGACGTTGATTCCACTGTCTTGATCAGGAGACAGCTTTCTGTTAATGGGCCTCCAATGCCACTGGAACACTCACACTTCTGAAGAGGTAATCCTAAAACCTTTTAAGAGATGAGCTAGGTAAGATTGAGGAATAAATAAAAACCTATACCTATCATGAAAATCCAGAGATACAGTTCCACGGTTGTTCACTAGAAGGGATTAGATTCTGGACTGGAGTCTCACAGTGCCCAACAGGGGTGCTCATTCAGGAGGAGTTAGGAGAAACCACAGCTTCTTACTGGCATTCTTAGCCAAGGAACCAAGGCCATTCCTACAATTGCTGCTTTTGACATCCCTGTCTCTAAACTGTCTGTCTCTCCCGTTCTCTCATTTCCCCCTCCTGAAAACGAACCCAGCTACCATTAGGGAATTGGGATGACAGTCCTGCTTCTTTCGGCTGATTGGGGTCATCAGGTATGGCAGTTGGGTTGCCTTTCCAGCAGGCCTATCTAAGGGACCCTGAACTACACTAATGGTCCCACTAGCCAGATGTAGTGAGGAAAGGAAGTTCTTGATTGGTACCTGGAAGGAAACACCAGGGAGAGGTAAAACTGGAGCCCTTTGAGCTGAGAAAATGATTCCATCTAGACAGACAACCTAGAAGATAGAACAGAGATCATTTTAATCATTTTAAAATGTCCAAAGCCAGCCGGGCGTTGGTGGCGCACACCTTTAATCCCAGCACCCGGGAGGCAGAGGCAGGCGGATCTCTGTGAGTTCGAGACCAGCCTGGACTACCAAGTGAGTTCCAGGACAGCCTCCAAAGCCACAGAGAAACCCTGTCTCGAAAAACCAAAATAAATAAATAAAATGTCCAAAGGCTATTAGAATCCCTTGGTAGGCTCACAAGAACATGCATTCATTAGGCTCCTCCTTGGCTGCTTTTTCTCTCTGGTCTCTAAGGCCTCACTCCACGGTGATGACCAGAATGTCCTTTTAGGCTGTTAGATAACCGTTGGGCCGGCGAGGCTCACAACGCAAAGTCCCTCTCAGATGGTGTGTTAGCCGGGGCTTTATAGATGCACACTTCCCTATCCTGACCACCCAGCCCCAAATAAGTACACAGAAGCTTATATTAATTACAAATGTTTAGCCAATAGCTCAGGCTTGTTATTAGCTAATTCTTGTATTTAAATCAACCCATTTCTATTAATCTGTGCATTGCCAAGTGGCTCGTGGCTTTACCTGTCCTCCAGCATTTCTTGTTTCCTCGGTGGCAGCTGGCTGACAACTGTCTGCCCTTCTTAATTCTATCATTCTCAGCTTGGCTCTCCCGCCTAACCCCCTGCCCAGCTGCCGGCCCGTTCTTTATTAACAATGAGAGTGACACATCTTCACAGTGTACAGGATTATTCCACAGCAGTTCCCCCTTTTTGTCTAATTTAGAAGGAAGGCTTTAACATAGCCATATAATCATAACAAGACTATATGCAACAAAAGCAGTATTATTAAGAGTTACAGTTGCCGGGCAGTGGTGGTGCACGCCTTTAATCCCAGCACTCCGGAGGCAGAGGCAGGCGGATCTCTGTGAGTTTGAAGCCGAGCTGGACCGACAGCCTCCAAAACAATACAGAGAAACCCTGTCTCATAAAAACCAAAACCAAAAAAAAAAAAAAAAGAGTTACAGTTAACGCCAGGTGGTGGTGGGTGGTGGCACACACCTTTAATCCCAGCACTTGTGAGGAAGGGGGATCTCTTGAGTTTGAGGCCAGCCTGGTCTATGGAGCAAGTGCCAGGAAAGGCTACACAGGGAAACCCTGTCTCAAAAAAAGAAAGAAAGAAGGAAAAAAAGAAAGAAAGAAATACAGTTACAGTATCCAGTCTATTTATATTTGACAAAACTTTGGTGAGTCTAAAGTTTCACATCTAATTTATCTTTTATCATAACTAAGAAAAACTGTAACTATGGTTATCTAGTTTTCAGCTCTGTCAAAGACCCCAGAAGGATGAAATGTTACCTAATGGTTTTCTAGAGGAACAGAACTGATAGAATGGGAAAATATATATGGGACTTGGTAGAGTGGACAGGCAGTGAGTGGTCTGGCTAGTCCAACAGTGACTGTCTGTGGAAAAGGGAGGAATTTGGTGGTTGTTTTGATCACCAGGCTGGATGCCTCAGTTGGTCTTCAGCCTCTTGGAATCCCGAAGAAGTAGGCTGTACCACCAGCAAAGGATAGCAGGGTAGATGAGCTTGCCAGCAGGAGTGAGGGCAAGCAGACAAACAGCAAAGCCTCCTTTCCATGTCCTTTTATGTGGGCGGCCACCAGAGAGTGGGGCCCAGGGTTAGCGTGGTCCTTCACACCTCACCATCCATCAAGACAATCTCTCACTAGCATGCCCCGCTGCTTGCGCTCTAATTGATTATTCCAGATGTAGTCAAATTGACAGCCAAGATTAGCCATCACAAGTTGTGACCAGGAGCCCGGAAGATGCCATCTGGATCTCATTTTGATCTTCATTTGGTTCCTAGATACAACTAATGCTCACCTTTACCTCTCTATTTTTATTTTGTTCATATGTCTGTGTGTCTTTGTGAATGTCTATGTCACATGTGTCAAAGTGCCCTTGGTGGCCAGAAGAGGGTGTTGGATCCCCTGGAGCTGGAGTTATGGTAGTTATAAGACCCTTGAAGCGGGTGCTGGGGTCTGAACTCTGGTCTTCTGGAAGAGCAGCAAATGCTGTTCACTGCTGAGCCAAATCCCTAGTCCGTTGCCTTGAACCATTTTGTATCCACCTCTGTAATCCACCAGTAGCCTCCTTCCTGGCCTCCTTTCCAGCTCTCCCCAAAGGTCTTTGCCAGAAGACTCAGTCATGACTAGGTAACCAGTGTATAAAGGCAGCTCCCTAGGCAGTAGCAACCTAACTCCTGTGCTGTATTCTAGGAACTGACTGACTTACAGAGGGATCCTCCTGCTCAGTGTTCTGCAGGACCTGTAGGTGATGACTGTAAGTATTTTCCCAGATTTCAGAGGGCTTGCAACTAAAACCTCCAATGTTATCAGGGACAAGACCACATTCCCACTCTCCTCAATTGAGAAAATCTAATTGTTTTCTTTCACATGCTCACAAATTGCTTTTTGTATGTTTGTTTTTGCTTTGTTTTGAGACAACTGAGGCTGGCCTGGAATACATAGTTGTACCCAGGTTGGCCTCAAATTCTGTATTTTCCTGTCTTATCTTCCAGATTGCTGGAATCATAAGTGAGTACCGCCTTGTCCAGTGTGGATTGCTTTTTCTTTTGTTTCTTTCCCCTTTTTGTTTGTTTGTTTGTTTGTTTTGTTGTTTATAAAGCTCAACGACATTTTCCATTTTATTAGAATTTTCGAACGATAACAATAGGACAGATGAGCTGTAAATACCATCAGTTACCAAGAGGAGAGAGATGGAGAGGAGGAGAAATAGTTGCCTATTAAGTTAGGGCTCATGAAAGGTGTGTTCAGCAGTAGAGCCCAGCTTCTGTATGAAGTCAGGAACTGGCTTCTTCAGAGACATGAGTGAGAAAGTCCAGGGAAGAGGCAGCTCGAGCATGCTTAGGATTTTGGCCAGTATCCAAACGACTAGAAAGGGAGGAAAGGAAAAGTTTTAGACCTCAGTAAAGTGGGTAGGCTAAACACTGAAGATCTGCAGGCTACTGTCTGAATTGCTTTTTCAATAGGGATCATGAACTCACCTCAGTGTGACTGGTCAGGTCACATTCCCAAGGGCGCCTACACTGTCAGAAATCATTCTTTCTCTACTGAGTCATAGAAGGCGGGTTGTCCCAGATCAGATATGGGACACTAGTACCAATGGCGCACAGCTAGTTGGAGAGGGCTGTCCTTGTGAGCCATGCTGGCAGGGGGACTGCAAGGGGTGTGGTAGGTGCTGCATGCCTCTGCCCAGAGGAGAAGACAGCGTGGGTAACTGTTCTCCCACCCCTGAGCTTCTCCACAGGGAGCTAGAAGGACAGCTCTGGCCAGACCTCAGCCACCTCGCAGCACACTGGCTAGAAGCTGAGTCACCTACCAGTAGGGTTTCCAGGCCCTCCTTCTGCTCACCGTCCCCTTTCAACTCATGAACTGTTGGGGATCTAGACAGTCGTCCTCGTAATTGTGCAGGACTATACAGTGACAGGGAAAGAGCAAGGAAGGGTGGAATCTTCCACACAGCAAAGAATTGAGGAGTGGGGTCTAATCCAGTGGGAACAAGCGATGATGGCTACTCTGGATTGAATCATCGTAGAAACAAACCTCAGCCTTGCCTGTAAGAAATTCTAGATTGGGTTGAGGTGAGAAGATCCACCCTGAATGTGTGTGGTACCATTCCATGGTAGGAGTCCCAGAATACATCAGAAGGAAGCTAGCTAAGCTTCAGCAGTTGTCTCTCTCTCTGTGCCTCCTGTCTGTGGAGGCCGTGGTCAGCTGTCTGGAGCTCCTGCTGCCGTGACTTCTCTGCCATGATGGACTGTACCCCAGAACTGTGAGCTAGAGTAAATCCCTCCCTCTTTAAGTTGCCTTTTTCAAGTGTTCTGTTGTAGCAATATGGATAGCCCCTAATACAGTCACAGGGCCTATCAGGTGAATGGATAGATAAAATGTGGACATGGTTTGATTCCCAGCACTCACATGATGGCTCATAACCATCCCTAACTCGCAAGTTCAGCCCTCTTCTGGACTCTGCAGGCACCAGGCATGCATATGGTACTTGTAAAGGGAAGCCTTCCCACCATCCTGGTTCCAGAGCTGCATCAGTACCAAATAAACACACAGGAGGCTATATTAATTATGAAGCTGTTGGCCTTGCTTGTTTCTTACTGGTTAGCTCTGACTTAAGTATTTACCCCATAATTGTTAATCTAAGTATTTCTCTTACCGGAGCAAAGTTCCGGACATCTTATTTCTGTGACGGGCTATATTGTTGACTCCCTGTGTTTCTCCTTCCCAGCATACTCCTCGACTCCTAGTCCCACCTATCTTGCTTCCCTATTGGCCAACAGTGCTTTATTGACATATACACAGGACTTCCCCAACAGGTACTCACTCATACATTCATGTAGGCTAAACATTCACACAGAAAATAAAAGTAAATCTTACAAAAAGAATATTAATGCATATAATCTCACTGGATTGTTTTGTTTTGTTTTTCGAGACAGGGTTTCTCTGTAGCTTTAGAGGCTGTCCTGGAACTCACTCTGTAGACCAGGCTGGTCTAGAACTCACAGAGATCCACCTGTCTCTGCCTCCCACGTGCTGGAATCAAAGGTGTGCACCACCATTGCCTGGCTGGATTGTACATTTAAAAGCTGTATAAATGGCCAGGCATAGTGATATATGCCAGTCATTCCAACACTTGGAGGTTGACATAAGAGAGTCACAAATTCAAGGCCAGCCTGGGTTAAATAGTAGACCTTGTTTTAAAACATAAAACACAAAGCTGGGCAGTGGTGGTGCCCAACTTTAATGCCAGCACTCAGGAGGCAGAGGCAAGCAGACCTCTGAGTTTGAGGCCAGTATGGTCTGTAGAGCAAGTTTCAGGACAGTCAGGGCCACACAGAGAAACACCGTCTTGAAAATGCAAATAAATTAATATATAAGTAAATCACACAAACACACAAGCCATTTATACAAACTGTGTAAGTATGTGCATGTGAGGGTCAGAGATATTCCCCACTTTATTTTTTAATTAATTATTATATATATATACTTTATTATTTTATTTATATGTATGTCTGTTCACAACAATGCCTTCAGAAACCAGAAGATCCCCTGGAACTGGAGTTACAAGCAGTTGTGAGCAGCTTGGAAGTGAACCTGGGTCCTCTGGAAGAGCAGCCACTGCTCTTTAACAATCCAACTATTTCTCCAGCCCCTTCATCTTACTTTTTGAGACAGAGTCTTTCACTGAACCTGGAACTCACCTCTTTGACTAGACTGACTGGTTAACCACCTAGTCCCTAAGATGCACCTATCTCTCTCTCTCTCTCTCTCTCTCTCTCTCTCTCTCTCTCTCTCTCTCTCTCTCTCTCTCTCTCTCTCTCTCTCTCACTAAGTCATCTCTTCACTAAGTCATCTCCTTGGCCCTGTAATTTTTTTTTTTTGGTTTTTCGAGACAGGGTTTCTCTGTGGCTTTGGAAGCTGTCCTGGAACTCACTTTGTAGACCAGGCTGGCCTCGAACTCACAGAGATCTGCCTGCCTCTGCCTCCCGAGTGCTGGGATTAAAGGCGTGCGCCACCAATGCCCGGCTGGCCCTGTAATTTTTTTTAGACAGTGTTGATAGCCTTAAATTTTGAACATCTTGTAAATGGTTATTTTTATGTTAATATATAATTTTTATTCATTTATTTACTTTTTAAGATTTATTTATTTATTATATATACACTTTTCTGCCTATATGTATGTCTGAACAACAGAAGAGGACACCGAATCTCATTATAAATGCTCGTGAACCACCATGTGGTGCTGGGAATTGAACTCAGGACCTCTGGAAGAGCAGCCAGTGATCTTAACCTCTGAGTCACTATCACTTAATAAGAATTTTTTTAAGAACTGAAGAGATGATTCAGTGAGTACATAAGTACCTGAGTTTGATACACAGTACCCACCCTGAAGTTACATACCTGTAATCCTAGTTCTGTTGAGATAGCTAATGGGTAAAGAGTGCCTTCCGAACATGGAAACTTGAATTTGATCCCCAGAGCCCATGTAAAAGTGGAAGGAGAGAACCGACTCCACAGACTACCATCCTCTGACTTCCCGTGCAAGCCATGGCACATGAGGGGTCCTACACAGACATCATACATACAATGAGAATAAATAAAAGCTTAAGAACCAAATAGTTAGCATGAGATGGAATTAAAACAGTCAAAGCAAAAGAAGTGATATTTTCACTGGGCGTTGGTGGCGCACGGCTTTAATCCCAGCACTCGGGATGCAGAGGCAGGTGGATCTCTGTGAGTTTGAGGCCAGCCTGGTCTACAGAGAGAGTTCCAGGGCAGGGTCCAAAACAATACAGAGAAACCCTGCCTCGAAACCACCCCCCCAAAAAAGTGATATTTTCAAGTCAGGAGTGACTCAGCCTGTAAAGGTTCTTACTGCTCACATCTAATGACCTGAGTCCAATCCCCAGAACTCACAGATGACACCAGAGTCATCTTCTGACTCTATATGTGCACTGTGGCACCATGTACATGCAACAATAGCAATTTAAAATGATTTAAAGAGGCTGGAGAGATGGCTCAGAGGTTAGGAGCACTGACTTCTTTTCCCAAGGTCCTGAGTTCAATTCCCAGCAACCACATAGTGGCTCACAACCATCTGTAATGAGATCTGGTGTCCTCTTCTGACAGGCAGTCAGAACACTGTATACATAATAAATAAATAAATCTTTTCTAAAAAATGTTTTAAAGAAGGGATATTTCCAGTTGGGCAGTGGTGCTTTAATCCCAGCACTTGGGAGGCAGAGGCAGGCAGATCTCTAAGTTTGAGGCCAGCCTGGTCTACAGAGTGAGTTCCACCAAATAAAAGAAGGGTTATTTTTGTTAGCTCAGGCAACTGTAAGTAGCCATTGATTGAAGTATTGAGGATTATCTCTGAGCTGCTTGGCGGCCTCTCTGCAGAAGCTTCTCTTTAGCCCTGTGCACTAACATTAGTATTGTCTCTGTCCTGCTGACATGAACTGAGCCTGGAGAGTATTTGAACAGGTGACAGGAAAACCAAGTCAGGTCCAGACCTTAAACCTTGCTGTACTTCAGTACTTGTCATGAGCTTATATGAGACGAATCCTCTTGAGATGAAGACCTCTAAAAACTCAGAAGCCCACCCCATGAGGGAAGAGATAGCTTCAACAGAGGCTCTAGAGTCCATTGCCCCGAGGTACTCTGGAGCCTTGGTTGGATGTGGCTATTTGGAGCATTGGGGCAGCCTTGATAAGCACACAGGAGCTGCTTCCGGCAGGCACAGGCAGAGCAGTAAAGACAGCCCAAGACCCTGGAAAGAACAGGAGGTCAGATAAGAAAGTTGGGCTGCCGGAGGGCAGGAAGTTGAGAAGGACAAGACTTTATCTTGATTGGTCATCAAGTCCTCAGAACTGCCTGGGTCACTGGGTGAGAAGACTTGAGTGACCAGGAGGCCCCGCAGGCCAAGAGAGACTCTGAAAAAGGCCTTCAAATGAATCAAGGGAAAAACTGGGAACCAGAAGAGGCCTGTCAACACATGTAAAGTGGCAGAAGACTAGCCAAGGCACAGTCTGCATGCAGACAGTGCTGGATTGAGGTTACGCCTAAGCAGTAAATTTGTTATGGGGCTGGAGAAAGGTCTCCTCGGGTAAGAGCACTTGCTGCTCTTTCAGAGAGCCTGATTTCCGTTCCCAGCAGCCATGTGGCATGCACAACTGTCTTCAGCTCCAGTTCCAGGGGGTCCAGCACTACATTAGCCTCCTCAGTACCAGGTACATATGTGACACACATGCATACATGCAGACAAAATACCCATACACATCAAATAAAAAATAAATCTTGAAAGAAAAATCAAAAGAATTGCCCTTAACCAAAAAAGATGTGCGAGATCTTTAAACCTGATCTCTGAGAGATGATCGTCAGTCGTGTCACAGTGGAGTCTTGCTAACGCTCAGCACTGCTGCACAGGTAAGCATTTCTGATGGGCAGAACTGTGTCTAGGAGAGTTAGTTTGGGTCTATGTCACCCTGGTAACTATAACCCTGGATGCAGTAGCTTCCAATGATGCTGGGAGTCCTGGTGAATTACAAAACTTGAGAGTACTTTTCTAAGCCCCAAGCTTGTAGACAAGTGCCAGAAATGAGGTGGGTCTGTGTGGACCTTGTGCCCTGAGCTTAGCGGCACCTTCTCAGCAGAACAGATGCCTTCAGTGAGGGCCCCTCATATGCACATGTTTCTCTTGTCTTGCAGTGTTCCACTGGCAGGCCACCATCATGGGCCCGGTAGGTAGTGCTGCTACATGCTCAGCTCTGGTTTGTTTCTCGTACTTCATGTTTCCTTCAAGCATTGATTTCTTCCTATGTCTTGCCCTTCCAGAATGACAGTCCTTACCAAGGAGGTGTTTTCTTCCTGACCATCCACTTCCCAACAGATTATCCTTTCAAGCCCCCAAAGGTGAGGCTGCCCCCAACTCCCATAAAGTTTTGATAAAAGGCTTATGATGACCTACTGTGTCACAAGAGCTGTGTGTGTACCTTCTCCCAGGGCTCTGCCATTCCAGATCAATGGTTACAACCTGCTGGGACATTAAACTGCAGACACTCATAATTAGTCCTTGCCTTAAAGGTTCTCTTGCTGTGATAAAATGTCATGACCAGTCACCTTGGAGAAGAAAGGGTTTATTTCGTCTCACGACTCTTAGTTCACACTCCATCAGTAGGGCTGTCAGAGTAGAAACTCAAGCAGGAACCTAGAGACAGGACATGCGCAGAGACTATGGAGGAATGACGCTTACTGCCTGACTTCTCACGGCTTGCTCAGCCTGCTTTCTTATACAACCCAGAATGGCACCACCCACAGTGAGCTGGGTCTCCAACACCAATCATTGATCAAGAAAATGCCCTGTAGCCAGGTGGTGATGCATGGTCTTTAATCCCAGCACTCAGGAACAAAGACAAGTAGATCTCTGAGTTCAAGGCCAGCCTGGTCTACAGAGTGAGTTCCAGGACAGCCAGAGCTACAAGGTAACACCCTTTCTTGATAAAAAATAAATAAATAAATTCTTTTTCATCCCAGCCACCCAGACTAAAGCAGAAAAGAGTGAGGGTGAACTTTATCTGGCTGTTTCTTACGATGACTCTGCTTCCTCGTTGTAACCATAATTAGAGTTGATTTTTGCAGACATTGGGCTTTGGGGTTCTTTCTGCCACCCTGCTTGTTATTCCTCACAGCACAGTGCATAGGGAAGTTGGCATCGGTCCCCCATGTTCAAAATGAGAGTCCAGCGAGAAATGGGTCAGGGAGCTTCTCTTAGTTGCCTGCCTGTGCCCTCTTAGGAGCTGGGTGGGTGCACTGCTGACACAACCCAGCAGAAGCTATTTCTTCCTTTGGATTCTTTTACCGATTTCCTTGTGGCTTATCTGACTTGATGTCTTCTTCTTACAGGTTGCTTTCACTACCAAAATCTATCACCCTAATATCAACAGCAATGGCAACATCTGCCTGGACATCCTGAGGTCCCAGTGGTCCCCAGCATTGACTGTGTCCAAAGGTAGAAAGACTGACATGTTCTCAGCATGCCTGTCTCACATACTTACCTTTGCTGGTTAGTGTTCATGGAAGCCCAGGAAGAACAGGTGACCTCTGCACATCACAGAGCCCTGCCCAAGGGAGATGGCGTGTAAAGCTCAGTACCTACGCCCTAATCATTCTCAGCAGCCAGTTGCTATGTGATGCTCAAAACTTCCAGTTGGGTACAAGAAAGCAATATCAACTCTACTTGCATTTTTCTTTCTTTTTTTTTTTTGGTTTTTCGGGAGGCAGAGGCAGGCGGATCTCTGTGAGTTCGAGGCCAGCCTGGTCTACAAAGTGAGTTCCAGGACAGCCTCCAAAGCCACAGAGAAACCCTGTCTCAAAAAAAAACAAAAAAAACAAAAAAAAAAAAATAAAGGCGTGCGCCACCAACGCCCAGCTGCATTTTTCACCTACAAGTCAAAAGGCACATATTAAACTTCTTTTCCTCTTTTCATTCATCCAAGGAGGACCAATAGGTGATAAAGATGTGAGTCGTTTCTGAAAGACAGATGCAGGACCTGATCTCAAGAGTCTGTGAAGAAACTTCCTTTCCAAAAACAAGTGATAATGAGCATGTCGGTGGATGAGATTAAGGATTCAGTTTAGCCAGGCATGATGGGACATGCCTCTAATCCCAGCACTGGGAGGCAGAGGCAGAGAGTGAGTTCGAGTCAGCCTGGTCTACAGGATAGTTAGGATTACACAATGAAATCCTGCTCAAAAAACAAAATAAGAAGGAAGGAAGGAGGGAGGGAGGGAGGGAAGGAAGGAAGGAAGGAAGGAAGGAAGGAAGGAAGGAAGGAAGGAAGGAAGGAAGGAAGGAAGGAAGGAAGGAAAAACCCAACGTAAACCATGCGACAGAGCTAGGGGTGCTCCTGAACTAAGACTGAGAACAGGTGTGGGGAGGTGGAATATCAAAAGCCACCCCCAGATAAGTGGGGCGTAAGGCAAAGCAAATGGCAGAGTGTTGGGCATTGGGAGAGGCTCCAAACCGGGGCAACTGGCAAGACAGGCTTTTGCAGAAGAGGATCTAGTAGGTGCAGGACAGAGCCACTAGCTCGGTACTGTGCAAGGTCACAGTGGACTCTAACAGCCAGCACACAGGTCAGCATTCTGCCAAAATGACTCTTCTCTGAGGTGTACCTCAGCTAGGCAGCCTCATCCCACTGCCCAGGAAAGGCAGGGGCAGCCGTCAGAGTCTGCCAGCCCCCAGGGCCAGTGGCATCTTAGATTAGCAGTCAGAGAGGAGGGAGGAGGGAGAATAGTGGCAGGGAACTTGAGACAGGACAGGCAGCCCTGAGTGGTGGGAGGGAGGTCCTCAGCCCTCGAGGGGCAGGCTTCGGAACATTAGCAGAATTGAGTCCCTTCACTAAAGGGGACCCATCCTTCCCTTAGGTAGCTTTAACTGCTGTCAGGACGTTGGACACTGAAGCCAGTTTGTTTTGAGTCACAGTAGAGTTAGGGCAAAGCACAAATACAGTTCTCAAAGTTTCATCTGCTCCTTCCGAGCCCTGGTACATGACTTCTTTGTCCAAGGCCTTTGACACTGTCCCCAACACAGGAGAGCATACAAGCAGGAAGCTGTGTTGGCTTTGCAGTCCTGGTTCAGAGACTCACTCTAACATCAGTATTCTGAATCCCTGTTTTCTTACCAGTAAACAAAACTTGCGGGGCACTACAGATGTGTGGTGTGGGCACAGCCTGGGGTTCCGCAAGAGTGTGAGAGCCAAGACTTGAGGGCTCCCAGGAAGTAGAAGGTAAAGGCCCCGAGCACAGGGGAGGGCTCCTAGAGCAGTGTGCTAGACTACACTGTGACGCGGTCGTGCTGGCGTTCCAACAGCAAGTATATGACCAGAGCAGAATCGTTAAATTTGAGTGTTGAGGGAAGCAGAAAGTACCCTTCAGGAGATTCCCTGGACACAACAAGTAACGCCCAGGCTCATGGCCTCTGCTGACTGACCTTTCTTTTCTTCCTAGTTCTCTTATCCATCTGCTCTCTGCTCTGCGACCCCAACCCTGATGACCCGCTGGTGCCAGAAATAGCTCACACCTACAAGGCTGACAGAGAGAAGTATGCGTCCTCTTTGGCTTGGCTTTGTGTGAGGCTGCCCAGGTTCCCACGGACATCTTCCTGCCCAAGCCCAGCCTGTGTATGCAGTGGGTGTGCCCTGGGCTTAGCCTCCTGGTTCTTCCTAACACGATCTTTGACTCAGACGAGGGAGAAGGGATAAAAGCACTTTGCCCTCCTGGATAGCTCACCAACTACCACTGCTGAATCCTAAAATATTGTCAAGTCCTGACCTGAGGACAGCTAAGCCAGTGGTCAGCCAACAAGAAAATTCTGGATTAAATTAGAAGGTTTATGACAAAATAAGGGGGGAATCTGCTCGGACATTCCCAGTCAAGATGGGCAGCACTGCCAAGGTTAGTTTGCTGGTGAAAGTTAGAAGTCCCAAGTGTGCAATCAGCAGCCGCAGCCCTCACTGCCAGTGTTTAGACACTGGTTTCCAGACCCAGAATTGTAGGACTCCCTCCCTCTGCCACACATAGCCTGGTCCTGAAGCTTGGCTGCTAAAGCACGTGCAGGAGTCACCAGCGTGTGTCAGTTCCTGAGCAGGGTTCAGTATGGCAGTTCCTGAGCAGGGTTCAGTGTGTCAGTTCCTGAGCAGGGTTCAGTGTGTCAGTTCCTGAGCAGGGTTCAGTGTGTCAGTTCCTGAGCAGGGTTCAGTATGGCAGTTCCTGAGCAGGGTTCAGTGTGGCAGTTCCTGAGCAGGGTTCAGTATGGCAGTTCCTGAGCAGGGTTCAGTGTGGCAGGGCCTGAGCAGGGTTCAGTGTGGCAGGGCCTGAGCAGGGTTCAGTGTGGCAGGGCCTGAGCAGGGTTCAGTGTGTCAGTTCCTGAGCAGGGTTCAGTGTGGCAGGGCCTGAGCAGGGTTCAGTGTGGCAGGGCCTGAGCAGGGTTCAGTGTGTCAGTTCCTGAGCAGGGTTCAGTGTGTCAGTTCCTGAGCAGGGTTCAGTGTGTCAGTTCCTGAGCAGGGTTCAGTGTGGCAGGGCCTGAGCAGCAGACTTACTGATGGCACAGCCCACTCTGTGGCTCTTTTTGTTTTGTTTTGTTTTTTTCGAGGCAGGGTTTCTCTGTATTGTTTTGGAGTCTGTCCTGGAACTCACTCTGTAGACCAGGCGGGCCTCGAACTCACAGAGATCTGCCTGCCTCTGCCTCCCGAGTGCTGGGATTAAAGGTGTGAGCCAACCAACGCCTGGCTCTTTTTAGATTTTTAATTTTATGTGTATGGGTGTTTTGCTTGTATACATGTCTGTGTACCACGTGCATATGTGGTACACACAGAAGAAGGCATTGGCTCCCCTGGAGCTAGAATTACAGAGGCTTGTTAGCTGTCATGTAGGTGCTGGGAATTGAACCTGGGTACTCTAGAAAGAGCAGCCAGTGATCTTTGTTGTTACTGTTTGGTTTGGTTTTGGTTTGCCATCAGTTCTCATTACAATATGAAACTAAATGCACACACCTACAGACCCGCCACCAGGTACGGGTGTGGCCCGTGAGCTTTACACCGGCCTGTCTAGTCTTCCCCCACAGCCCCACAAAGCAGATGGTGTTTCATGGTTCACGGTAAACAGTCAAGGGACGTGACAAGTCATTCACAAAGAGGTGACCCAGCTACAGAGGGTCACGTGGATTCACAGAGTATGCCAGCGTTCTGGAGTTTGTGTACCAGACAAACTGGATATTCCAAGCTGAACTCCTTCCACATCCTGCGTTTATACTGAAGGGCATGGGAGAGAAAAGATGAGGTTTTACATTATTGCATGTCCACCACAAGTAGTTATGGAGGAGCAACAGGAAACAGCAAGCTAATGGGTTACGCCCGTGACTGAACTGCTTCTGTTCCTAGGAAAGCCTTTGTCTGACTTGTCCGTCAGTCCCAGATGCCTGAGCAGCCGCAGACTTGCTCCTCATGTTCTCTACTCCACACTGAAAGGGTAGCATTTCAAGTGAGGGTGCCCCTCCATCTGCTCTTTTCTTCCAGATACAGCAGACTAGCGAGAGAGTGGACACAGAAGTACGCTACGTAAGTGCCGGAAGGCTCCATGGGAGACATCGTCCAAGAGAAGCTTGCCAGCAGAGTGGCCGTCCTGTGAAGCTCTGAGCTGTTGGCTAAGGCACTCACAGAACACCCTGCGTTCACACGTGTTGACCACTCGCTTTCTCTGGCTGCAGCATGTTGGTGCCACTTTCAGCCATTGTGGCCTTGACAGTGTCACACCTTTGATGCCAAATCAGCAACCGTCGTTATGCTCTGCCGTCTTCCTGGTCTATGCCCCAGCTTGTCTGCTTGTCTCTGGGGAATCAAGCCATGCATGCCTCCCCTACTTGTCCTCAAATTGTGTCACTAGTCACCGTGGCACCCCCCCAGGGGCCCAGTCTGCTCCCTAACCACACGACCTTGCCTTTAGGACACAGTTCTACCCTGAGGGCCCAGGGCAAAGTGGCCTTTCTCCATACCGCTGTCTGCCACAGAGCTACGCCCTCTGTAGTGCTATATACTGCATTTCTCTCCTCACACCAAACAGCTAGTGGGAAACATCAGGATATATAAAGCATGCAACACCCCAAGAAAGAGGATGACATCAGACGTGGAGAGATGGGGTTATGCTTTCGTGTGTGGCGAAGCTTTCCCCCGCTCTTCTCTCACAGGGAACTTAACATGAAGTTCAAGCAAACGTCATTCACAGGCTGGAACACAAGGGGGAAGAGGGACTTTAAACCCAAATAAAAGTGAAATCCCTCAGAACTATGAAAATTGACATTCTTTTCTCCTTTCAGACAGTATAAACTGAACAGTTTCTCTGGAGATTTGAATAGGCCTTGCGTGCTTGGCTTCCTCTGTGGCCTTTCTGAAGGAGCAAGGTTTGCTTTCAAGAGTTCAGAGCTTTGAGACAAGAGTGAGTGCATCTGCATGGGGGAAATGTGTTTTCTGAAGACAATTCTGTTAGCCCAAGCTGGCCTTGAATTCTGGTCTCTGTGTTCTGAAAGTTGGGCTTACTAGCATGTGCCACCACATCTGGCTAGGAAAGAAAGCTCTAGAAAGGACTGCAAAGGAGAAGGAAAGCTAAGGAGTTTCTCGAGAGGGCTCTTTGTATTTTTGTTGTTGTTTTAGGTGAGCTCTCACAATATAATCCAGACTGGCCTAAAACTAGAGATCCATTCTCCTTGAGAGATAACAGGTTGTATCCATGACACCTAGATGAAACTTAGTCTTCTGCATTGGTTATAAAGCTAGTCTGTTTCCAGGGACTAATGGATGGTGAACCAGAATGGGGAGAGGAGGGAAAAACTGTGCCACCTAAAGACCGGCTGAGACCTGTGAGAGCAAGGAGCAAGACATGTACTGACCTAACATTTGAGCTCCAGCCAAAGGAGATTGGTTTGCTCTGAAAACAAGTAGCTAGGCATGGTTGTGCACACCTGTAATACCAGCATTCTGAGAAGTGGAGGAAAGAGATTCAAGACCAGCCTCGACTAAATAAGACTGCCTAAAATAGAAAAGAGTTAGCCAGTGAAAACACGATTCTGAGCTCATTCACACCACTTTGGCAAAGCCTCATGTTTGCCCTCATTTAGGATCTCATTAGTCTTTAGGGCTCTAAGTCTTTGTTCCTTGTTCCTCACCCTGTTGAGAGTTGCTCTTTAAATTTCTGTTTCTTAAATATTAGGGGAAAGAATGTTACTACTGAAGTGCACTGCAAGACTGTTACCACGTTTCTCTCCCAAGCTGCAACATCATGTGCTATATGAAGTTGTGTACTTCAACTCAATGGAACACAGCATTTTGCAGATGATAACCCAGCCAGGAAAGGGACATCAGAGGCAGGCTGCTGGGAAAGTCCTGGCCCAACATGGTGTTGAGGCTATGAGCATGTATATTTTAGTCTTTCAAGCTTAGTAGTTTATAACTCCAAGCAAGCATCCCTTTTTCTAGGTCTAAAGTATCCCCCAAGCCAGTCCTCTGCTGGAGAATGAGTAGTGGGAAAAGAAAAGATAGCCCTTTGATGTTCCCAGCGCAAATTACTAATGAATTGCAAGCCTAAAATGAGCTACATACCTGCCAGACCACTTGGACAGCCTTGTACTCAGGCAAAGCCTTGAATACTCTGCCACTGAGAAGGGGGCCCACCTATTTGTCATGCTCCCAGGGTTCTGGTCAACCTGGGGAACAGGCTCTTAGGTCAAAAGCCTTATTTTGAAGATGGCCATGGTGTGGTTGGTCCTGTGTCATATCTGTAAATACTATACTTCTCCCCCCTTCCCCCAGATAGGATTTCTCTTTGTAACAGCCCTGACTGTCCTGGAACTCACTCTGTAGACCAGGCTGGCCTCTAACTCACAGAGATCCGCCTGCCTCTGCCTCCCGAGTGCTGGGATCAAAGGTGTGCCACCAACGCCCAGCTAAAAACATACTTCTAAATACAGTCCTAGATCAGTAACTGAACAGCAGATCTGTAAAGTCAATGTAAGGTGATCTCCCCTGTCCCCAGTGGACCATAGAGATCAGAGATGCATGGGTTTACATCAGTGGTTCTCAACTGGTGGGCGGAGACCCCTTTGGGGGTCGCATATCAGATATTTACCATTCATAATAGAAGCAAAATTACAGTTATGAAGTAACAACAAAATAATTTAATGGTCTGGGATCACCACAACATGGTGAGCTATATTAAAGGGCTGCAGCATAGGAAGATTGAGAACCACTGGTTTAAGTGATCTGTGAAGAATGAATTACTATTGGGGCTGAGTGGAGAAGAGCATTTTTTCACAAACTTGAAGACCTGTGCTCAAACAAACCTGCTTTAAAAGCTGGGTTTGGCTCTGTATATCTATAACCAGTACTATGAGGAGGCAGAGGAAGATCACTTATGAGTTACTGGCCATCAGCTTGGCTTCAAGTTCAGTGAGAGACCTGCCTCTAAGGCATAAGGAGGAGAAGGAAAGAGCAGAGCACTTGACATTGTCTTCTGCCCTCCACAAAGCACGCAAGTATGCTCGCCCGTCCGCCCCATGTGCATGTACCACACACACAATATGTGTCACCTCTCTTGGAAGATGTGAGCTTGCTAAATGGAGCGGAAGGGTTTTTTAATACTTTTTTTTTGAGACAGGGTCTCACTTGTAGTCAGGATTTCACTGTGTGGACGTGGCTGACCTCAAACTCATAGAGATCTACCTGCCTCTTGGCCTCCCAGATTCAGGAATTAAAGTCACCTGCTACCATGCCCATCTTTTATATATTTGTGTGATAGTTTAAGTACACCATGTCCATGTCTGGGGTCAGCAGAGATCAGAAGGGGTGTTTTAGGACTGGAGTAACAGAGGGTTGCGAGCAGCCATATGGGTGCTGGGTGTTGAACCTCGGTCCCCTGGAAAAGCAGCCAGTGCTCTTAACTACCAAGCTATTACAGCAGCAGCAGCAGGACTAGCATCACCACCAACACCGCCTTGGTTTTTCTTTTTTTGTCCTTGAGACAGGGTCTCTCTGCGTAGCTCTGACTATCCTGGAACTCACTATGATGGCTTGCCTCTGCCTCCCCAGTGCTGGGGTTAAAGGCACACACCACTACACCTGGCTTTCCAGCCCCATTCTTGCCGCATTTTATTTTATTATTATTTGGGGGGGGGGTTTCGAGAGAGTTTCTCTGTATTGTTTTGGAGGCTGTCCTGGAACTCACTCTGTAGACCAGGCTGGCCTCGAACTCACAGAGATGTGCCTGCCTCTGCCTCCCGAGTGCTGGGATTAAAGGCGTGCGCCACCAACGCCCCTTGCCGCATTTTAAATGTAGAAACTTTTAGTATCATTTCTCTTGCTGTAATAAAGTACCCTGACAAAAGGCAATTTATAGAAGGTTTACAGTCATCATAAGGAAGTTCAGACAACTGTTTTTGAAGTAGAGGTGAAGCGCAGAGCAGGTTCTCTTCATTATCGAGCTTTTTTTTTTTTTTTTTTTTTTAAGACGATCCTGACTGATGATGTCCTGGACGACCAGAACTCCAGCTGTCTCCTGAGTGCTAGGATCACAGGTGCGCACCACCACGCAGATGATATTTTATTTTCGGTCAGGGTTTCTCGGTGTACACCTGGCTGTCCTGGAACTTGCTCTGTACATACACCAACCTAGCCTTAGAGATCCGCCTGCCTCTGCTTCCCGAGGGCTGGGGTTACAGGAGCGCCCACCGCCCAGCCATCAGATCGTTTCTGACGCGCGGGTCACACGCGGGGGTCCACGCCTGGAGAGACTTGGGCATCTGAGCGAGCGAGGTGCTCCGACTCCCGGCCACGCCCTGAGGGCTGCGGACGAGGACACCAGGCCCCGCAGCCTCTCTCGGATTCCAATTCCCCAACACTTCCACTCTACCCGCAAACTAGAGTGCAGACTCTCTACTTCCGCCTCCGGCCTCAGGGGCGCGGCTTCCGCACCTCGGAGGCGAGGCTTCCGGCCTCCGGGGCGGAGCTTCCGGTCGCCAGTGGAGGCCGGCGGAAAGCTGAGGCTGCGGCGTCGTTGGGACCGCGGGGCGTGCCATGGCGGTGAACCTGAGCCGGAACGGGCCGGCGCTGCAGGAGGCCTATGTTCGCGTGGTCACCGAGAAATCCCCGACCGACTGGTAAGCGGCGAGGCGGGTCCAGGCAGGCGCTGGAGCTGGAAGGTGGGGGCGCGGCCGTAGTGTTGCTGGATCACCTGCCCCCTTCCCTGCACCCTAACGAGGTGCTACCCCGCCCTCGCCACCGCTGTCCCCCAGCCGGACCCAGCGAGCTCCCCCAGACCTTTCTCCTACCGCCTAGCGGTCGTTTCTGCCCTGGGGGTCTCCTGAAGGTTTCCGCCTGGCTGCGATTGCTGTCCGTCAAGCTCTTGCCTCTTCTGGGACTTTGCTGGACAAAAGGGTCCCACGCAGCTAGCTCCCTAACTCCTTAGAAGGCGGAAGCCGCGCCCTGGTCTTTTAAACCCCGATTCAGGAATAGGCCTTGAAAACGGTGTGACCGCGGGGTTGAGGTCATGAGCTCACCCTGAAGGTGCGGCCGGGGATGTCAGCGATCTGGGTCCCTGGTGCTCTTGGATCACATTTCTGAATTATAGGAAGGGGACTGAAAACGGGGCGCTGTCACCTGTTTGAGAAAAGCTCCGTCTTTGCCACCCCAGGCCATCCTCCGCTAGGCTGTCAGTGTTTAGGAGTCGTCCTGGGATTTATTCGGGTTTTACAGTACTGAGATCTTGGATCTGAAGTCTCCGAAGTGACCCTGCTGAGCCCCTCCCCCTTCGGCTTTATGCATACCTGTGTATAGTAATTCTCTTTCACTTTCGTATCTGCTTGCATTGTTTCCATTAGCCAGCTTTTAGCGCTTATATTTCTGAGAAATCTGTTGTTCGGCAGGTTAAGGTGAACAAATTCTGGAGAGTGCAAACCGCGCCACTGCCCTGTGGTCAGCACTGAGGAGCATCCCAGTCTGCCCACGTTGAGTCCTCCGTATTGCATGGTCCTGTGATCTCTTCTTTTCTACGGCTTTGTATTCTCAATCTTCTGCTCTGCAGGAACCGTCACTGGGAGTGATACCCCTACAGCCTAGCTAGCAGTGCCTTCTCCTGCGCTCCGTTGAGCTGGCCGTATGCCTGCTTTTGAGACAGAGTCTTGCTCTGTAGCTCTGGCTGGCCTGGAACTCCCTGTGTGGACCAGTTTGGCCTTGAGCTCACCTGCCTCTGTCTCCCAAGTGCTCGTTGAGTCCTTCCTGGAATCACCTGCTCTACT